CTATTTAAAGTACAAAATTGGTGTCAAATTAATCAAATATTTACTAACTGTGATAAGATGATTACCTCTGTAGAACAACATGCTTAATGCGATATATTACAGTTGCTGTCTCTGTGTGTTTTCCCCAAAAGCAAGCTGCAGCCATGTTTATAGTATACTGATTTACAGTTAATCACATTTTCTGCAGTTCTGTAACATATACGGTGCAACTGTGCAGTGCAAAGATTAAAAAAAATAGCTGTGTTAAAAAAAATTTTTTTATACAGTGCAATAAATTCCGTTCAGACATAAAACTTGAGTCATCTGTTAGGTCTGAATTTTATACATAGTCCTTTATGATAGCACAAAATGCACAGGTAGATGAAGAGGACATGTACACACATGCAAGCTGACTCACGGAGACCCCCTGCACTTTTATTACATTATGTAGCATTAGGCCTCAACAGCTAGGCTGCTGTAATCAGTGGAGAAAACATCAGCTGTTTTCACTTAGCCAAAGTTGTGACTCTAATTAAGTGAGCTTATTAACTTTGTACTAAGGTTCACATAACAGCACCAGTGTCTCAAAGAGTTTGATCAAATCAACATGAATGCCTGTCATGGGTTTGCAGAAGTTTCTCTGCTCTAAGCTTTCCCAAGGTCTCAATTTATCCACCTTGGTGACATATCATACTGCTTTTTCACTGAGGTGAAGAGAGGATGTCACTGCTTCTATTACAATATGAAGCAAAATTAGTGCACATATTTAATGCCTTTTAGCTTTAGAAGTTTAAAGGAAGATTTAGAGCATATGTTTAATAATCAAAAAGCTTTGCAAGAGGAAAAATCTCACTTCATTGTTGTGAATGAAGATGTTTTCTTTTCAAATTGATACAAATTTAATAAAAATAAAATTGGATCTGATCAAAAAAACCACAGACACAAATGATGGGATTTTCCTAAAATAATCATCTAGAGACAAAAACAAGGATTTATGATACCACATCATAATAAGAAATTATGAAAGGAAAGTTCTAAATAAAATGTAAAAACATTTGAGAACCAATTATAAACTGTAAATACTGAAGATGGATTGTTTTGCTGAAATTATCTTAAAACTGATGGACAACTATGCAGCCGGGACTGTTTGCCAACAGCAGTGTTAAACCGTCTGTCCAGCATGGGCAGTAACAAAGGTCAGTCCACAACAAATAATAGCAGAGAGATTCAGTGTCCAGTAGGCCAATCAGACCAATCAGTCTGGTCCTAATTCTTTTTCAGAAGAGCATTAACAAGTTTAATCTTTTTATGAAAGTTAAAATGTGGGGTAAACAAGGGAGGGTTTTTTCTTCCTATCTCCAGCATTGGCTGAGACTAATCTGTTTAAAGTCCCACAACAATAAAACCTCACCTCAGTCAAAATAAGCAAACCGTTTAGAGCTGGAATATATTATTTCATGCACTTGTTATAGGTGTAAGTGACTCAGCTGGTTCCTTTAAGGCCTCATTCCCCTTTAGCATGCTCTGTGTCTTGAAATCTATTTTTGCATTAGCTAATGATTTTCATCTTGTTTTATGTCTGCAGTTTCTGGCAGAAACAATTATACCTATGCTATATTGCACTTACAAACATGTTTTGTTTTGAGTGAGCAATGCTGCATCTCCAACAAGAGCTGCTCAGC